GCTTCCTCTAATCCAACTTGCAGGCTCTGTCTGCGGTACCTGCCACGCCCACCTGGCCAAACAAGTTTCTATATATATGTATGTCTGTACATACATATACAACATCCGATTTATTTTTTGATTGATATTTGCGTAACTGTCAGCACTGGTGATTGATTGAAGGGTTGTGCGCAGTCCTACTCCACCTCCAGCTCCTGCTCAATCTTTTTGCCAAGCACAGCAAAAGTCAACTTACAATTACTGGTCTGAGGAGGATCAGGATTGGGGCCTGGGTATAGGGATAAGTATAAGGATGAGGTTGAGGGGGGAACCCTCCCCTCCACCACATAAGGATTGTTGTTGCTAGGACCAAGTGACTACTGTCAGTTGAGAAATTTTTTTTTTTTTCTGAATAATGCGTAATGTGAAATAAATAAGTGGCATATGTGTGTGTGTGTGTGCGAGTGGGTGTGTGCTGGCGAGTGTGACAAACGATTTTCATTTTGTTTTCGCTTTTACCCAAAAAGATACAAAAAAAGCAACAAAACTGTGCTCAATGACTTTCGCTCTTTGCCTTTGCTGAAAGATTGGATATGTTAAACCGTAGTTGCCCCGTGGGCCTCGGGTTCAAAGGTTATGCAGCGGGTCAGGGAACATACATAGATAGAAGTGGAAAAGGTTACATTCTCTGTCTGATTTGATTTGATTTGATTACCGCTAATCAACTGAACTACTCAAAAGGCCAGGGGTCGTGAATTGGACAAATCAAGTGGCCTAAATGGGTTAAAATAAGGATCGGTTTTATGGTTTAAATGGAAATGGTTTTTCCAAAAAGTTTTTGCTTTTTTTTTGCAGGATTTAACTCGTTGGAAAGTCTAAAACTGATAGAAGTTTTTTCTTTATAAGTTTGAAAAAAGATTTAAGCTTTTGATTTTCTAAGATTTTTTAGCTTTTATTAAAAATCATGAAAAATCTTTTTAGAAACGAATAAATTTTAAGTTTTTATAAAAACATGACATCATGATATAAGAATAAGAAACCTTTCCTATAAGCTGTTCAAGATCACTAGACGTAGGCTTTGGGCCTTGTCCGCTGGTCCGTCCACCTAGGCGTATGAGTGATTAAGCTGTTAGATTCTAGAAAATCTGCCTAGGCAGCTCTGTTTTACTTTCTTCTAATCTTAAAAAATATAAAAAAAATCTATTTTTATATAGAGATTAAAAATATATCATCCAAAAATAACCATAAAAAGTTAACCTTAACAGACCTTAGTTTGCTAAAAATAATTACTAAGCTTAAGCTTAAAAAAAAAAAACCCCAAAGAACTTTAGTTCATTGTCAGGACATTAGTCCTGTTAAGTCTCAGTTAAGTTATTGGTTTTTGTCCTGCCTGCCCACCCCTCATAATGATAGCCCCAATTAGTTATCCCCTCTGCTGGCTGAACATAATTTCGCTTCTATTTATGGCCAGTTTTTTCCCCGAGAAATTTCCATTGAGCTTGTGGCAGGGAACTCCCCTCATTTAATCCACCTACCCATACCTTTTCGATTTATCATTTTAAGCTGGCAAACATTATTTCTGTACCTCTCCACTCGGCACAAATCTTAACAATTAACACACTTTATGCGGCATTGTCCTACAGCTTCCTTATTTTGGTGGGCCTTTTGGGGGTTATTGCCATCAACCAACAATGCGGCAGCTGATGAAGTCAATGCCACTGCTGATGAACCCCTGACAAGCTGAGGGGGGACAGAAGGTGGAACTCGGCTCTCGGCTCTCGGCTTTCTGGGTACCAGTGACGCATTGCCTCATTAACACTAAAGCCCCAGCATTTATTTAGGCCAAGTTAAGGTGGCTGGCTGGGTGGATAAGTTGGCACGCATGTTGTACCTCTCCCTCTCTGCACCACCCTAGCTAGGCTAGGCGTGGCATGGCGTGGAAGCATAAAAATAAAAGTGTCTCTTAATTTGTACGCCTATGAAAACGACACCCCCCCAAACTGCTGCAGACAAAAATTTTCAATGCTATTTAACTTTGTTGCTGACGGTCCGTGTTTGATGATGGTCTCATCAAAGGCAAACGCGCCGCGAACTTATTAAGCAGCTTTCATTTTTAATTATGCCTTCCCCCGCTTCGACTTCGAATTATATTTCTTTTTCCGTTTTTACTCCGCTCTTCCTTTGGTTCTCCGCATCCCCGCTTTTCCGCTACTGCCTGGCTGTCGCAAAAAATTAAAAAATCATTTTGGAGTCCAACACCTAGGGACTCTTGTGCTGGGGGAGAGGGGATCTTGGGGCCAGTAAACGCCTCATCCAGCCCCATCTAGCCAAGTGCAATCAATCACGTAAAATTTAATTAAATTCTTAAGAAAATTCAACAAAGATGATAATTATACCCAGTATTTGTAGGGGCAATGGGTGTGTTGGGTTTATAGAGAAGTTGGTAAAAGGGAAAATAATTTAAAAATTATTTTAATTTGTTAAGAAATTATCAGACATAAGAAAATAAAGCTAAAATTTTGTGAATAAAACCAAAATTTGTAGAAATTTTCTTAAGTTTAAGAAGAAAAAAAGGAAAAAAATTTTATAAAAATTATTATAATTTTCCCATAATAATTATTATATTTCCAAGCAAAAAATAAACTTATTTTTTACAGTATATATACAAAAAAGCCACCTGTTCACGGCATGAATCATGAGTTAGTAACTACCTTTGTAGCGAATATTTCCCTCATTTCCCCTCTAAAATTCTCATCTAAATGGTCAACATTTAAGTCTTATATAGATTAAAAAATAATACTTTTGATTTCAGAAATTCAACAATAATATGCCAGAGACATTGTTGTATATATAATACCAATACCGATTTAACGACCAATATGATTATATTCCGATGTGGTGGCTGTGCTGTGCTGTGGTTTGGGCAATAAATTGAAGCTGGCGCTCGTAAGTATGCTACGATTGTTGCCATTCCAAAGAGGAAACCAGTCATATTATGCACATAAATCATAAAAATAATGTGTCAGTGTTTGTATGCCTGTGTGTGTGTGTGTGTGTGTAAGTGTCTTGCAGCAACTGCATGTTTTTAAGTGTTGGTAAGAAGGGGGTGTCGGCGGGTGAAAGGGGTTCTGAGGTGGCCATTGCCATCCGTCAAAGTTGCTTAAGTGTTTCTCCATGTTAATGCCATCCCAGCAGTTATGGAAGTCACTCATGACAAATGTCATTACCTCTGCCGCCGAAGTATTTAGTTACAGAGGAAAAAGTTTCGGAATTTTTAATATTAATTTGTTAAATTATGAAGAAAAATTAAGAATTTCAAAGTTAGTTTATGTCAAGTTTGAAGTTTTCTTTTAATGGCAATGAAAAATTGGTCAGTTTTATAGCAAATAAAAATATTTACTTTAAATTAAAACATTTTAGGGGCTTTAAAATATGATAACTATATAAATTTATAGTTCTTTAAAAAATTACAAAAATTATTCAGTAATTAAAAATGTTTCTTAATGACTTCTTTGTAAAATTTCTTTCTTTTCTAATTTCTTTCATCGAAAGCCCCTCTTTTTACACTTTTCGCTTAAGCCACTGCATCAAGGCACACCCAAACACACAAACACACCCCCCCATAGGCTCACACTCAGCCACACTCACTTGTCAGTTTTAGCCAAAGGAGCCAAAGGAGGAATTTTCGAGGGCCATTTACATGTAAGAGTGCAGCACCAGCAGCAGCAGCAATGGCAACATGGCAAACGAACCCAGAATCTCGTCGAGAATTGGAGCTTCTACTCCGTATATCTAAGTGGGTCCTGTACTGGTCCTGGCCCTGTGCAAAATGCTGTCTACCATTGCCCTAACACATTTATCAAACATTGTACATGGCCATTTAAGCAGTGTCTAAGTGTGTGTGTGTGTGTGTGTGTGTGTGACAACGCCTTTGCCTGGACTTCTCCGCCCACCTGAAAATCTCTAAATTTTACACTCTGATCGTTAGAAGCCATAAGGTAGTAACCACACATGCACTACAGTAGAGCTAAAGTTACCTTAAACTAAAATTTAAACTTATTTTCTTTTAAAAAAAGGAACTTACTTAGATTTAAATTTCTGGAAGATGCCATGACCTGTTACTATTTTTAATCATTAATCTAACATACTTAAGCATGGTTTTGGTCTTCCTTTTACTTTCTCTGCTCATAAACCTTAAGATCTGTATCAAAATTAAGGTCCTGTCTTTTAATATATGTCAACACTCGCCACTCAATGAAGTAGACACTTACTTTCGAAGTATTTTTTGGTCACCAAGTTTTATGAAATCGTAAACTTTGCTAACATAAATAGAGGCCAACTGTGTGCACTTAGAGAAAAATATTACCTAATTAAGAGATACTGTCAAAAAATATAGAAAACTATGTGATCAAGTTAAGTGCAACATAAGATATATATGCAGATATGAAATCAAGGCTTTAAAATGGTCTTTTCATATGAAAATATGAAAATCTAATCAAATATTTCATAAACCTAAACCCAAAATGAGTGTAATTTTCTATTAGTCAAATATATTTCTTGGATTTAAGACTATATTTCCAGCTCCAGATAGTACTCACATCAATATAGTGCTGATAAAGCTGATATATTTTAGATATGAATATAAAAATCCTCCTCAATCTAAAAAGGCAACAAACTTTCTTAGGCCACCCAACTTAACATTGTACAGTTTTTAACCAAAAGAATAACTCACCCAAAAAGTGCTAGACAGCGGGTCGCGAAACTCCCAGAGCAGGTAGATTTAATCCAATTTGGAAACCAGAAGCTAGTCCCTGGCTAATCCGGACAACGTTTGCGATTCCCAAGCCATGGATGATGGATCAATGAATGAATCCGAAGGCTTTCATGAATCTGTTTGCCATTAAGCTCGTTGCGTGGCGATTAAAAGGGGCATCGCTAATCCTCAGACCTAGGATATATATATATATATATATGTACATGAATAATCCTTTAAGGCAGCCTCTGTGCTTCCAAATAAATAGTTTGCTTACCACTGGACGAGATACAGTCAGCCGTCGAACTCTAACAGTGACACATACACACACAGTATTAACATGGATACGACACCGATCTTTCAGTCCAGCTTCTCCATTCGATCTCTACTATCTGTGGGCAATAAGGTGGAGGATCCTGCAAATGGCAATCAGTCAGTAAGCAGTTCTGAAGACGAGAACAAAATATTGGGCACTACCAGTTCCAGTTCCAATGCGATAGACCACAAGAGCAATGCCAAGCCGGCTTTCACCTACAGCGCCCTCATTGTGATGGCCATATGGAGCAGTCCGGAGAAGAGGTTAACTCTCAGTGGGATTTGCAAATGGATTGCCGATAATTTTCCCTACTATCGAACACGCAAGAGCGTTTGGCAGAATTCCATACGTCACAATCTCAGTCTCAATCCGTTCTTTGTCCGTGTGCCCAGAGCTCTCGATGATCCTGGCCGTGGTCATTACTGGGCACTTGATCCTTATGCCGAGGATCTGTCCATTGGCGAGACAACGGGACGTCTGCGTCGTAGCAATTGGTCACAGAATCAAATGGGAAGACCCAAGATTGGGGGACATCCCTACCAGCGTATGCCACACTACGGTCACGTTCAGGTTCCACATTTGAAGTCTCATGGCACCTATTTTCCCATCGTACATCCAGATCCTCAGCATCATCACACGGCCATGGTGCAGCATTACCAGGCCATGATGCACAGACATCAGATGATGCAACATCATACTCATCAGCATCTTCAACTTCAGGCTCCACATCAGCTTCAGCATCTGCATCATGGTTACCATTTTCATCGGGAGTAGCTTTCCTTGGATCGACATCAAACCTAAAATATTGTTAATTGTTAAAAATTGTTTGCTTTTTTTTTTGATGTATTAACTTTAAGTTTATATCGAAAACACTATGATCAGGCTTTAAAATAAATTTAAATATATATATTTTTTAAGAATTAAGAATGCTAAAAGTTTTTTAAATAATAAAAATAAAGCAAAAAATTAATGCATTATTTGTAATTTTTATATCAAATTTTTAAGATTTTCTCAAGACAAAGCCAAAGTCCTGCCTTTGGGTAAAACCATTTCGATTAGTGTTATCGATAAAAACTTGTAAGTCGATAATATTACCGTTGATTTCTTTGCCAGTGTTAAAAAATCCTCGAAAAAGTGTACGATGTTTATTTGACAGTCAGTTTTCGTCTCAGTTTTCTTCATTTTTTCACCAAATTTCATTTAAGAAACTTTTTCTATCCGGCAATATTTCTACTTTAAACGCGAAAAATGGCAGGTAAGTTATATAATCTTTAAGAATATATATATCTTCCTTGTTTTCCGTTTCCTTCTTTTTCCAGAACAAAACCAAAAGCAGCCGTCGCAGCCTTTGCAGAAAATCAAGAAGGACTTTGGAGCGCCACAGCGTATGAACAGCAGTGGACGTTATATTAGTGCATCGGGATCGAATTGGAGTTCAGTAAACAGGAAGTCACCAATATCCAAGGGAAACATTAAGAAACGTGGTGACAGACAGCAGCAAACTGCACCTTCTCGTACATCATCGCAATGGCAAAAGCAGACGCGATCGCAGACGCAAGTTCCATCTTCCCGTAATTGGCAATGGCAAAAGCAGACGCGAAACCAGTCCCAAACTGGGTCAACGCGGACTTGGCAATGGAAACAGGCGCGAACTCAGTCGCAGCAAAATCAGTCACAGCCGACCAGGCAGTGGCGACAAAAGCCAAAGGAGCAGAAGATCACCAACTGGCGCGAACGTCCCGCTGGCGACTCAGCGCAGTCCAAGTCGAAGCCTGTCCTAGAAAATTGGCGCCTGCATGGAAATAATTCGTAGTAATATTTATAAATATCCAAAATATGATAATAAATTTTTAATAAAAACAAGTAACTGATGTAAGCTTGCATTTATATGTAAGATTTTTTAGTTAATATTGAGATTTTGATATATAGTTATAATGGAAATTAGAGAAAAGATTGTATGGTTTAGACTTAACTTTCTTCCAATGGGCAAAGTTAGTATCTAACATTGTCCTAGGAATAAAAATTCTAAACCTAATACTTTAAAATGGTGTCTTGATATAAGAATAGGAAAAGATAATCAAATATTTTATAAACCTAAATATAAATGTTTGAAAAATTCCTAACCTTAGGCTTTAAAATGGTCTTTTCATATGAAAATATGAAAATCTAATCAAATATTTCATAAACCTAAACCTATAATGAGTGGAATTTTCTATTAGTCAAATATATTTCTTGGATCTAAGACTATATTACCAGTTCCAGATAGTACTCCTATCAATAAAGTGCTGATAAAGCTGATACATCTTAGTTATGAATATAAAAATCCTCCTATTACCCCAATCTAAAAAAGGCATCAAACTTTCTTAGGCCACCCAACTTGACATTGTACAGTTTTTAACCAAAAGAACAACTCACCCAAAAAGTGCTAGACAGCGGGTCGCGAAACTCCCAGAGCAGGTAGATTTAATCCAATTTGGAAACCAGAAGCTAGTCCCTGGCTAATCCGGACAACGTTTGCGATTCCCAAGCCATGGATGATGGATCAATGAATGAATCCGAAGGCTTTCAAGAATCTGTTTGCCATTAACCTCCTTGCTTGGCGATCTAACATTGTGCTAGTAATAAAAATTAAACATATATTTATAAAGATTAAAAAAAGATAAGTAAACAATTTCAAAGGTTCAAAAAGGTTTTACATTTTAAGTTTTAAAAGCCACATCTATAGGGTAGACAAATAGCCGCTTTTCGTGAAAGTTTTCAACTTGTCGGCGTCGGACCAAGCTGACTAACCTTCTACTGCTAGGTGGGTTGGCTGCCACATCTAAATGCCGGCTGTAAATGACTTAAGTGCCTGGCATTTATCTACTAAAACGTGTCCCTCTCTCTGTGCCTTTCGTCCTTGTCATCGTCACAGTTATTCACTTGGCTTTAGTTGTTGGAGTGGCAGAAGTTGCCCGTTGTCACACCTGTTAAGTAAGTGAGTAGAGGATGTGGCAGCAGCTGCAGAAGCAGCCACAACAACAACAAGCAAGTTGCACACAAACATTTAACTTTATTTTTTAGATTTTACATGAAATTCATCCTCCCCCCGCCCAGAAATGACTTTCATCAACTTTGTCACCAAAAAGCAAACAATAAGTCCACCTCGAAATGCAATGACAACAAGATTCCCTTAAAATATTATACAATTTTCGCACATTTTCCCAAATCGCATTCTGTTTGTTCAGCCTGGCAGAAGTGAATGATCCGCTTACTGGCTCAAATAATGCCTTGTATAAGGAAAACCCCCTCCCTTTCCCTTAGGAAAACTATGCTGATGTTCACTCATTCAGGCAATGATGATATTTCACAGATCTATTGTGTTCCCTGATTCCGGTGGAATGGTCATTGAATCAAAAGTTTGTTTTTGTGGCTTGGCTTTGGAGTTTTTGGGTTTTTGTTTTGTAGAAAAGTTGCTGATGAGAGTGATGAGTTTTGGGGCTTTCAATCTAAAAGATACTTTCTTTTTTTAAGCACCTGTGTATTATTACATCTGTGATCGCCGCAAACAGTGAAAGTTTAAGTTAAGTCAGAGGTGTCACTGATGTAGAATAAGATATTTCCTTATAAAAGCTTAAAGTAAAGTTTAACTTTTAATATGTGTAAAACGAAGGAGGATGGAGGAGGATGATTACTGGACTAACTTTTTATTATTCTGCCATGTACGTACCGACAACACTTGTAATGCTTTCTTTTTTTTTTGGGAGAGATGGAGAGAGTGGCTTTCAGGGAATCCACTCAGAATTTGGCGAGCTTGTGCCTGCAACATACAACGGGGCTTAAACTAGGTCACTAATGCTGCCGCCACCGTAACAGTTTGTTTGCAACATGCATTGTCATACAGAGCCCAGCCGTGAGTACTGAGCTCATTCTACGAATTTTCATGAATATGTGAAATATTCAACAAACACACACACACACACACTCACACACACCCATACAAATTATGAAAGAAAACAAAGTGGAAATGAAATAAAAAAAAAACAGCCAGAAAACTGTCTCTGGCAAGCTTGAGTTTTCATATCCTTTTAGTTAACTTGTCTAGAAATTGTATTTAATAATTTGAATTTAAATATTTACCCTTAAGAATTTCTTACTAAAATCCACAATTTAAAGAAAATTGTCCTGAAAAATGCAGATATTTCCAACGAAATGTGAAAACTTCTGGCTGAGTGACCACCTATCTTGATCTCGATTGAGTGTTTAATGTTTTGTCGCACAACTTAGAGGGGCAGGCAACTTCCTGATGATGATGATGATGCCACTTCCAACCATTTGCCGCCCGTCTCGCCACCCACCTGGGGGGGGGGGACATGACAAGATTTATTTCTTCATCGGCGTCCCAGCCATTTTCCAAATAATTACACATTTACATTTTCATAGACAATTTCGGCGCAAAAATCATGGAATCAACTTCATTTCACTTACGACACAGTAACCTGCGTATAAAGTCAACAGAAAGAAAGTCCTGGAAAAAGTTCTGTATATGTGTGTGGGTAGTAGAAAGTAGAACCCACTGTATCGGGTCAAAATGCCGGAAACGGAAGTCAGGACGTGGCATTGCCATTGCGATGAGATGGTAACTGTACTGAATGGACTTACACTAGGGTGGTCCATTGTGGCAGCAACGGCGGCTTTATCTGGCCAATGCTTGCGCGCTGATGTTGATGGCTATCTTTAAAAAGACATAAATCATTTTGGGGGTTGAGGCAGGGTAGATACTAGACTGACTGGGCCAGCGGCCTAGTCTTAGTAATTAATCATGGCCCAAGGCGCTGACTTAATTCCTCAACCGACGGGCCATTCTCTCTCTCTATCTCTCTCTGTCTTTGGTATAGTTTTAGGGCATCTCCATGGCCATTAACATGGCCATTCGCCAGTGTCCTTGTCCTTTTGTGGAGTGCAAATTGTCGAATCAATTTGTAACGATTATGAAATCCTTTCGCAACGATTGCGTAATTTACACAAATTAAGGGTCTTTCTTTTGGAGAGTAACGCCAAGTGTTGTCGTCACATTGAAATGTTTGGTATTTTGCAGTAGAGGGGATGGTAAGGAGGGTTAGCGGCTGCTCCGAAAACTTCAAGCTAAATTAAATTCCACTTTTGGTCAATTGCACTCAAAGAACCGCAAATAGTTATTGCAATTGCAAAAGGCCTGTGGCCAAAAAGGGAGAGGGGCGTCGGGTTTCTGGTTTGATGGTCGGCAAATTGGGGTTCAAGATGGCCGAAAGGCTGAGATACATACGCATGTATGTGTTAACGGAAGTACTGCTGTTTAAGGGCAAACAACCACTCACACACACACACACAGGCATACATGCACACAAGCAAATATGTCATTCATTATTTAATATCTAATTATCAAATGTTGCTCTTGTTGTCATGGTTGTTGTTGTTGTTTGTTGCTATTGCCGCTGCCGCTGCGATAACAATTAAAACAAGGAAGGCGTCGAAATGAACATGAACAGCTGCCACCACAACTTGGCCACTAGCCACGCCCTCCTTTGCCCTTTGCCACCGACTGTAACTCGCATGACAAGCAATTGAAATTGCAAGTGGCCACGCCCACTGGGCTCAAGCATCAGTTGTTCGCCTTAATTGTCGCCCTTACTGCCACCCGCCGTTGCTGCTGTTGTTGTTGTTGTCGCAAATTTATGAGCCGCACTCTGAAGTGGTTTTGGTTTGGGCCATCGGTGTGGGCCAAGAGAGCATTTCTGGTTATTGTTATGACGGAAGTGGAAGTGGAAATGGAAGTGGAAGTACGAGGCCGAGTGGTTCGCCAATTAGACGGGATGCCATGGCGTTGAGGCGCTTGACGACAGGATTCCGGCAGCGAAAACCGGAAACTAAACTATCCGCAGATTGGAAAGCTGCTTATCGCACCGTCATAGCATGACTTCTCCTCCTTCTCCTCCTGTGGTTAACTCAATAAATAATGATTGTTATTAAAGGTTAATGCGACATCTTTGCTAGTTACATTTAGAATTCAAGTCATGATTGGATTGATAAATCTTCGAGTAATTACTTAATTATTTATATGAAAAAAATGTTTACTTCTCCTGATAAATACAAATTTTAAAGCTAAACAAAAGTCATTTACAAGACGTGCTCTTTCGATGGCCCATCGATTGATGGATCCGCTGGCTTGACTTCCCTGTCGGAAGGGAACAACCCCAAGGCAATGGCTCTGGGGGTGGGTAAGCCAATAGGGGAAGGAGAGAAATACGTGATAAAAATTATGCCACATGCAACTTGTGAGCAATAAATCTTCAATTTATTACAAAATAATTAAAATTAATGAGCGAAATTGAAAATGTGCACGTGCGTTTGTTGTTGCGTTTATGCGGAGCTAAAATCATGAAGTTGTATCGAAGAGTGTTTTTTAAGAATACAGTTAAAAAGTATCATAATTTGATATTTACAGTGAATAATAATAAAAATAAAAACTTCATATCCTTTAGGTCTTAAAACTCTTTACGAACTTTTAGTGGCATAAACATTTACTTTTGGCTGACACTGTAGAGTGAGTGTGCGTGCGTGTGGTTGTGTGGGTGTGCGTCGAATACAAAAATGAAACCATAAACTTTGCCAATTGCCAACCATTATAGATTGCAAGGGCCAAGGACCACGGACCAAGCCAGACTATGCAAAAGTCCTTTGCTCGTGTTGTTAATATCAGGAAAATGAACGTGAGGTTCAAGGCTGCGTTTTCGCGTAGCTCACTTTTCTATCAAAAGAAGTTCAAATACAATATATACTTTAAAGATTCTTTTCATTTCATAATATTTAACATTACCTAAAGAGGACACTTTCTTATATTTTATTTAACTGCTGTTTATTTAGTGATTT